CTCCATGGGGCACATCTGAATAAATTAATCAAAGACCGACAGCATCACACAGGGGATACTTCCTGAGGATACTGAGAACATGATTATATGCTCATTCTCATTGCTTTGTGAAGAGGAGGCTAAGGGGGCTATATTTTCTTATCTGAGGCCCAGAATTACACTGGTACTATCCCATTTGTGTATTGGGCCAAAGATTTTCATGACAGTAGGGTTAAAATCCTAGCTTTCCTTGGCTATAAAACAGGAGAAACATAGACAATGTGACAAAGGTAACTAATTTGCACACACTTTCAGACTTTTGTATCAAAGCTATTTATTATAGGGTTTGTTATATTGGTAGCAATCAGAATTGAGAAAAATCCCTGTGCAACTTACATTTTCAAGTTTATAGGTATAAAATTTCTGAGTCAAAAATGACTCTACTATTCCAGGGAGTCTAATACCCTTGAAATCAGCCACCACTCATTTGTTGTGTACCACTGTGAACAGGACCCTGTGGATAATCACAACATTTTAGGCTTTGCCAACTCTATACCAAGAGTTGGGACATAAATATAAATCACCATCATTATAAGAAAATATGTGACATGAGCCATTTGAATGACACAGATAGTAAATATTAAAAATTTGAGGAGATGATGGCCATCCTAGGGGTGGTCTAGTTAGAGACCTGGATTGTATCTTGTCATGGAACCTCATGTAACTTAAGTAACCCTAGGGGATTTGGCCAATAAAGTTCTTTCTTTTCTTTCTTTCTTTTGTGTTGTATTAACATGGTCACTTATGTTGGAAGAGAAATGAATAAACAATGTGGCATCTCATCTCAGATGGCTTTAATAGTCTGAATTGCTTTTAAGAAAAAACTTGCAAGTCAAGTAAAGAATTTCCTGTCAAACTGTATAAATGCCATCTGGCCCGAAGTGGAATCTTGGTGGTCTAAGTCCATTCACAAGGAAAGTACAGTTTACCACAACTATTCTGGAAGAGACTGGAGGTAGGAGGAGTTGTGGCATTTCTCATCAGAAATGTTAAATGGTGAAAAAAACCAGAGAGGAACCAAATGAGCACTATCTCTGGAGAGACAGAACTTTATTATAGTTCAAAATTTTATGGTGAAGTCATGTTAGCAAAAATCTGCCATCTGATACAACTTTTATCTTTTAGGGTCAGAACTCTTCCAGCTTTTTACATTTGCAGTTTTTACCTCTTAATACCTTGACATCTTTAAATTTTTAGCATTTCATAAGTATGACTTCATGTGATGAGTTCATCTTTGCAGTAGTTTTTAATAACTGCATGAGATGATGAATGAACATTGAGACATTATCCAATTTTTAAAAAATCATTTTTGGGTCATGCATTAAAATTATACATAATAGTGAGTGGGATTCATTAAAACACTTGTAAATTTTGAATTATGTATTCATGAAACAGGTAATCCTAAAAGATATAAATTGTTTCAGATGGAGGGGATAATGAACATCGGGGAGTGGTCTAGCCAGAGACCTGGATTGTATCTTGTCATATGGCTTATTTAACCCAAGAGGATTTTTGAATGTAAAATTTTATTTTCTTCCTTTCCTTCCCTTCTCTTCCTTTCTCTTCCTTTTCCTTTCCACCCCCTTCCTTCCCTTTCTTTTTCTTTCCTTTGAGTTGAATTAACAAAGGCCACTTATGTTGGAAGACTCATGTTGGCCACTCATGGTAAACCACTAAAAGAAATAATGTGAAACAATTGTTTTTTCCCTCTTGGACTTCTCAAATTTTCCACAATTATATTATATTAACAGTTTTAAAATTATAGTACTTCTATTTAAAATATTTAAAATATTCACAAATATTTTATGGCTTTATGGTGGACTCATAGACATGTTCCTGAAGCTAGTAAGAGGGTAAAGACATAAAATCTCCCAAGTAGCATGGAATGGTTAATGTAAGAGAGTCATGGTGAGTTGTGATCATAAAGGCTTAATGATGGCAGTAGAGTTTGAACTAGACCTTGAAGGACAGGATTTTAATAGACAGTGTTGTGCATGAACTGGTGTTCTCTGTGGAGAAAATGTATAAGACAAAGGGAGGTGATGGAGAGGTAGAGCTGTATTTGTGGCACAGTGAAGACTCACAGCACTCAGTGAATAGAGTTGCAAAGAAATATGTGACTTGAAAGTGGAGGTTGAGGCCAGAATTTAATGTATCTTGCATTCTAGCTGAAAGTTTGAATTTAGTCATTAAATTGTAATAGCTGGTCTATGTATTTTATAAGCTGCAAATATTTTTATAACTTTACATCTGGTCTTTCTAATCATGTTTTGAAGATGAGATTATCACTCCAAATATAGATGACAAAACTGAAGTTTGAGTTTGACCCTCCAAGTTCACAGAGTTAAGTTTTCTCTCTCCCCATTATGCATCCTAGCTGCTCATTTACACCAATCATGTAACATTTCTCACAGTGTGTCACGATTATTCAGTTTTTCCTCTAGCATGTTCTGTTTCTGTATGGAAAAAACAGTCACCAGAACATTCTACATCATTTTAAATGATTGGCTTAAGAAATCTCTTTGTAGGCAGCTGAGTATGATGGTTAGAGAATGGCCTCAAGTTGAAGCCTTGGTATGAATCCCAGCTTTGTTATCTGTAAATTGTCTAACCTTGTCAAAGAGTTTATATTCTTTCTGAGCTTAATAGGTACACTTACCTTCAATATAAGGGGTTATGCAGTTAAGAAGTCACTTGCCAGATGCTGGCACCTTATTATTGGACATCTCAGCCTCCAGAACTATGAGCCAAGAACTTTTCATTATAAATAACCTAGTTCCATGTATTCTGTTATGGCAGCACAGACGGACCAAGACCTTCTTCATTAAGGAACCCCAACTAATACTTGACACATTTTTATTGTGCCTTTAGAGCAGCACTCTACAGCTATAGCTGCACAAACCAAGCATACTATTCGTTGGACGTTTTCTTCTTACACTGATCTTTCTGCTGCTTTCCATCGCCATTTTGTTTTCCAACAAGGTTTCAATATGCCCTAAATCAGGTGCTTCTAGGAAGTCAGGTTTAATGAGTGATGGTCAGTCCTTTATATGGAAAGTCAGTTTATCAAGACACTTGTCAGTTGGGTGTGGTGGCACATGCCTATGATCCCAGGGACTCGGAAAGCTGAGGTAAGAGCTCCACATGTTCTAGGCTAGCCTGAGAAATTACAGAGATCCTGTCTCAAAATAAATAAAAAGGGCTGTGGATTTGGCTAAATGATACAGACCCCTAGGTTTGATACCCAGTATTGCAAAATAAGAAAGAAAAGGTACTTACCAATGTGTATTCATTAGTGTTGAGGTGGTTTGCTAACATTATTTTAATTTTTGGTTTGTCAAGTTTTTAATTATTTATATCCCTGACTTAATGATTACTTCACTTAAGACTTTGGACTTTAAGATGGTACAAAAGGGATATGCATTCAGTAGAAATTATATTTCAAAATTTGCTTTTCGATCTTTTTTCCCCGAGGTGAGTAATCCATGATATAATATTCTTGTGATGCTAGGCAGTGGCATTGAGCTGTAGATCCCAGACAGTCATGTGATCACAAGGGTAAACAGCTAATGCTCTACAGTGTGCTTACATTGCTGGCTTGAATGTTCAGTAGGTTAGATGTATTATTTTCAAGTTAGAATCTTTTCCACTTTCAACGGGTTTATCAGGATGCAACTGCATCATAAATCAAGGAACATCTGTATTTTGACCTAAAGAGCTGAGTTTAATCAGAAGTCTGGCATTCCTAATGATGCCCTTTGGAATATATGCATATTGATGATGATGACAACTTGTTAAGTGATGTAAGTATCAAACAGCTGGAAAAATAAACATTTAGCTAAATAGGGGACAACAAAGGCAGACACTAATTTTAAGCCCACAGATGCAGTTTAAGTAATTAAAAAAATCTGGACATTATGTCTTTGTTCAAATTTTGCCCAACTTTAGACATATTCTTAGAATATTTTTTTTCCTCCTTAGTATATTTCCCCTTCCTACTTCCCATTTTTCATATGTTAAATAATTGAATATAAGATTTGAGATATATTGTCTATCTTTGGATTTAAACTAGGTGGTTTCTTGAGATTGGACAAAGGAAAAACACGTTTCCTTACGTGCTCATGATGTCTGGCCAGCACTCAAGTTCTGGGGATTTCATGGTGTTTGAAAGCAGCCCTGTAGCAGCTGGACGCTGGCTCAGAAGATGGCTGTGGAGGCTGCCTTTGAGACTGGCCTCTTTCTGGTGTGTTACACTAGGATGGAGAGGAGATCCAGTGCAAAAGGAAAGAAACCTCATCAATCTTGCTTTTGTGGAATAGAAGGGAGGATCTAACAGTTCTTTGAGTTTAATCATCAGTACCGAGAACATCAATGTAACTTCTGGGAGGCATCAGAGTAAATTCTTCCTAGCTTGTGGACTTTGGTACTGGCTACTGACCCTGCAGAGCTCTTTGCCTAGAGGGCTATTCAGTTGATACATTTTACCACAGGTTTTGATCTTTCCAGAATCTCATATATGTATTATATGTATTGCAAAACTTCTTTGTCAGATTTTTAAAAAGAAAATCGAATCAAATACTATGTATTTAGATGATTGATTTGAGTAAATATGTGATTGACTTATTCATTAGAAAGTATGAAGATTTTTAAATATACATGCTACTTATAATAACGTCTATAAATATTTAGTTTTTAGATCTTATTGAAATGCTCATGTAGTAGAAAAATAAGATTTAACTCATATGATTTTTAACTCAGAACATTTTTCCAGAAGCATTTCATAGGTTTTAGCATTGTCCATACTGCATATATTTACTTATTGTGAGAAAGTAGAATTAACTTGTGAAGCATATATGCAGAGTAAAAACATTTAGACATTTAGGTATTCCAAATCTTCAAACAATTCAATGTTGAGATTTATACGTTGTGCTTTGTGAATAGAAATATTACAGACAGTTGAATTAGTACATAAAGTTTTTATTTAAAGTTTTCCCCTTCCAAGCAAGCTTCATTTACACATTCTAATACTGTACAAAATTTACATTCTCTGTGATTTATTTAATCTTTTTTTTTTTACTTTCTAGTAGTTTATATCTTTCTGAATCCAGAAAGTTTGACTTATAGTTCTCATAAATGCTTTTTATTTATTTTGGCTAGAAATAAAAAATAAAATGAAGTCTAAGGAAAGCAAATATTATTGTATAAACTGTGACTTTAGGAAGAAATGATGACAGTTGACAATAAAAGGTTCTGAAACAGACCTTGTTCTGTTCATGATGTCAGCTGGGAGTTTCCTACAAAATACCGTGACTTTTCTTCCTTTCTATATATTCATATGTTTTTAAGAAAAAAAGAAATAAAAAGTTGATTGCACTGGAGATATATATATATATATATATATATATATATGTATATTTATATATATATTTTTACAACTGATCCTTTGGATCTGAACATACAAATAAATACAAAAACAAAGAAGATTGCACTTTACTGTAGAAACGGCATTGGATTCCAGTATCCCCATCCATCTTGACACACTTGGCAATGAAAACTTATCACCAAGGCGTTTTTAATCTGGCTTCCCCTTATTGTTTTGAATGTAACATTTTTTTTTGGAGGATTCAATATCTCTGGGTGATTAAAAAAATATTTTAAGCTCTTATTTACTCCTAACAGTTGTTGATCAAGCTCAGGAGAGCTTGAAAGTCAAATTTGTGTTCCTACCAGTTTTGTTCTTTTGATTGGCCACGCTGAGACTACGTCATGCTCCCCTGACCTCTGCTCCTAAATTACCCATGCTCCTAAGGACAAGTAGCAACTGCTTGCTGGACTGAGTTCAGGAATCTCTGGTGCTAACCAAAAATGATGAGGCAGGGAATAATGAGATGAAGTCCAGGGTCTACATCCAGCTGCAGGTGAGGAGGGAAGAGTATTCTGTCAGAGACTATATATAACCTGGTAAGTTTCGTGTTTTAGGAACAAAGATAATTGGGATTGTCCTTGAAAGAAATTATTTTTTTCTTTTCATCCCTGAATTCCTAAAAGCAATCTCTTAGTTTTGATCATAGATTAAGTCTGGGTCAGATGTGTTATCCAACAGAATCTATGAAATAGTGTATGACTGAATTTGTCAGTCCTATCTTTGGAGGCAAATAGCATGTGTGCTTACTGCTTAAACACTAAAAAGAGAGAGAGAAAGAAAGAAAGCATAAGCCTCCATGAACTTCAGAGTGACATAGTATGTTTTAATTTCCAGATAGAATTCAGGACATGGGAATTAGGACTCTGGCTATCCTAGAACCTGCAGGGCAGAAAGCAACTCCTGAAAGACCCAACAACTTAACTCTTCCATGAGGTACTATAAGGGCAGAAGGTACATGAAATGAGGATGTATAGAAACAAAAATGCCCCTATTTAATCTTCTATGGTTTTCAGTAACTGTGTTGCTTATGGAGTCTGTGAAGTAGCCAAAGGTTAGGAATACAGAATCAAGTGGGAATTTCTGTAATGCAGTGTTAAGTATTTTGGTGGGTCAAATTCTGAATTATTCATGTACAAAATATCCCCAAAACTTCAACATCGATCACATGCAGGTAGAGTACAATGCACAATACTGATCTCAGGTCTCTCTGGGGCCAGTCTTCTGTATTTTATCTTTCTCCCTTTGAAAGTTAAGATCCATGTGAGGAGTTTCTGTAAAGCTGGGACAAATTAAAACCAGTCTGAAATGGAAGAGTCCATCACCACAGGAAGTCGGATACGATCTGAGTTGCAGACACAGTATCTGTTCCATAACAGGTCTCTTTCTTTTGTAGTTACTTGTAAATCATCAGAAACCAAAGGTGGGTTTCAGCAGTTGTATCATGAGAAATGCACAGTTCCTATTAGGATAGTGACGTCACCTGTCACTGCTTCCTGGGATGTGATGCTGTTCCTTCCAGAGTTTCCTGGGGCTATTTGTTGTAGGGTACACAGGCAGGCAAGATTACTGTCGCACAGGCAGGGCCTGCCAGGGGTTCTGCTACATCTCCTTCAAGTTCTGTCCAGGTTCCCTTCTCAGGACAATAGCATATTGTTGATGACTTGTAGGCCCCCTGTAATGGCAAAGTAGGCAGCATTTGGGAAAGAGTTCTGAGAAGTGCAGCAGCAGTCTTATCTATCACATTTATGCTGGAAAGAAAAGATTTATTCTCTGCTCTTGCTCAAAAACTCCAAAGAAAAACTGAAGACTAAACTCTTTTATTCCAAGGGAAAACTTGAAACTGACATTTTAAAATCTTTTTTTTTTAAATTTTTTTGATGACTACTAAATAAATACCTAGTATTTCCTAGAGGCTTAAAAAAATCCCTTAAAATAATTGTATAGAAATTGAAGTTATCCAGTTGGTTTAAATTAAAGGGGAAAAAAAAGGACAAAGTCATTTTCATATTCAAATAAATGAAGTAAATTGGATTTTAGATTGCTACTTTGGTGAATAAGAGCCAGCATTGAAAATCAGTTTAAAGTAAACTGGAAATGAAGACTTGCTGACTTCTTTACACATTGATTTATTTATTTTCAAGAGGCCGCATGAGAAATAAAAAATGTCTTTAATTTTGTTTCCTTTGTTAAATTTAGGGGCTAGTGCTTGTGTAACATTTTCTTCTCCAAATCAAAGCGGCTTTGCTTTTATCACAAACAAAATACCCAATCAACCTAATAATCATTTTCTGACAGCTTACTCCTGGTGCCTGCTTCCAAACATATGTACTTTTGCAGCTAACAATTTGCAAAAGCAAACAAGTACATGTATGCAAATCTAGTTATATATATCAATACATTCTTGCTTTCATATAACAAATAATTTATTAAAGCTCTCCACAACTTTGTATCAAAATCTTATTTGATGAAAAAAAAAAAGAAAACTAATATTATTAAACTGCCAAATTGCTCTTATAAAACCAATATGGATAAATAAGAAAATATAAAAATGACTCATTTTTTAAGTGAATATGTGTAGGCCACTAGACCTGATGTGTCTCTTGATGTGGTATAATTTGCATTATCAAGTCATCTCCTCAGGTGTTCTTGTCAAAAAAGAAAAAAAGAAAGAGGAAGGGGAAGGAGACAGAATGGGAGGAGGAAGAGGCAGGAGAAGGAGAAGGAAAAGAAGTCTGAACTTAATTAAGCCCTGCCTCTGAGTTCTGGTCAATAGGAAATATGTAGATGAAGAGCGATTTTGAATGATACCACAAGGAAGTTATGAGCTAATTCCAGGATGTAGAATATTCTCTGATAATTGATCCTATTTTGTCAATGAGTCCACCGCATGAAACCGAAAGTGGGCCAGAGGTGATGTTTTACATTGCAAGAGATCTATGAGACAAAATAACCAAACAGGAGTGAGACCTGTTGGAACCTGATTTGAACTTGCATCTTTTTTTCCAAGTCAACAGGGGAAATTTGAATATGGACTGAATATAAAGGAATTATTGTTATTTTTCTGGGTGTAAATGAATGTGAATGATTTTTTTTTTAAATAAGAACTGAGAGCTGGGGTTGTAGCTCAATGGTAGAGTATTTGCCTAGCATTGTGTGAGGTACTGGGTTAGATTCTCAGCACCACATATAAATAAAGAAAATGAATTTAAAAGACATTTAAAAATTAGAACTGAGGTATTTAGGGTAAAACAATATGTCTAAGATTTGCTTCAAAATTTTGCTTTTTGTGTTTGTTTTTGAGATAGGATCTCACTAAGTTGCTGAGGCTGGCCTTGAACTTGTGATCCTCCTGCCTCAGCTTCCTGAGTCACTGGGATTACAAGGCATGCCTAGCTTGCTTCAAATCTCTTCAGTCAAAATTCGTAAAAAGGGGGATCACTGAAGCAAGTTGGAAAAATAAAAAGATTTTTGATGTTGGATAAGGAGTTAATGGCAATCCATAATTTCAAGTTTTGTGTATGTTTGGAAATTTTTATGATATAGAGGGAAAAGTGAAAAGCAAACTACCCCTCCTAGTAGATGGATATTAAAAAATTAATTTTCATGCCTCACTGGTCAGGAACTCTCCTATTCATTTCAGCAGAACATTTGTAAAATTGCTTCATTTTGACCCTTGGTGGACAACCAGAATCACAAAAACATGGGGATAAAGAGAACCAGAAACCTAGCACAGGTCATGAAGCAGTTGACTAAACAGCAAGCCAATTCCACAGTATCTATGCTAATTCTAACTACTTAGAGTAACTTACTGCTTGTACATCAACATGATGTTCTTAAAAAGATACATGTATGGATGATGACACATCTGAAGGGAAACAGAAAAAGTGAGCACAGAAAGAAAGGAGAAGGACACATACCATACTCCAGCTGTAGCCTCCCACAAGGTAAATGCTGTCGTCAAGCACAGCACAGCCAGGACCACTTCGACCCTCCAAAATGGGAGTTTGGAGAATGTTCCACTGGTCTCCTTTTGGGTCATAGCATTCCACAAGCATTACATCAAGATGGGAGAAACCTAAGTGACATAGTAAAATGGAACGACAGAAGAATAAACTCTCAGGGGGCCCCATGTAAGTTTAGGACTTTAAAAAAAAAAAGGTCTAGAGTCAAGAAGTAGATAAGTGTGTCTTTGAAGACACAAATGTAGCAGTTTATTGGTGAACTTGGGAGACATGCCAGAAAGATCTAAAATATCCCAAACTCTGGGTAATTAAAGCAAGAATGCCAGAGCAGAGGTCATTAATAAAGATGGATTACGTAGAGGTAGACATTAATAAAATGTTTATTAAGTACATGTATGAAGACTTGAATTTGGTGTCAACATACTTTATATACAAACAGAGATACAAAAATTGTGGAATATATGTGTATTAAGAATTGTAATGCAAAAACAACAACAACAACAACAACAAAGTACATGTATAAAGGCAAAAAAAAAAAAAAAGAATAGTGTTACCTTAGATTAGGTGGAGGGAAGTGAAAGGAGGGGAGGGCAGGGGATAGTAAGATAGTAGAATGAAACAGACATTATTACTTTATGTATGTTTGTGACTGTATGACCAATGTGATTCTATAATATGTATAATCAGAAAAATGAGAAATTATATCCCATCTATGTATGATATATCAAAGAATATAAGTGCATTGTACTGTCATGTATAACTAATTAAAACAAATAAAAACTTTTAAAAACCCCATATTTTAAAAGGTGTAAGATAATAATTGAAGCAAGCATTTTCATAAAGTACTCATAATAGATTTGTTTTCTAAATAAAATCACTTTATACCCTCCATTCTATGAGATAGCCACTATCATTATTTTCATTTAACAAATAAAGGAATGGAGAGACAGAGAAAGTCAGTGACTTAGTGAGTCACAAGCCAGTGAGTAGATAGGATGATATTTGAAAGGTGAATGGGCTTCAGAGCTCAGATTCTTTTGGAATGTACTATATTGCTTATCTTAAATGGGTTTGAACTCTCTCAAAATATTTTCATTTGTTAAAAATACGTTGTAAATATGCATCTTTTACCTTTTTTAAAATAGTTTGTGTTGATAAATAGCCCTAATGTGAATGGCTTCTAACATCTCCCACAGATCAAGGTTTAGAGCACATCTGAGCACCCTGTATTGGTAAGATTCTCCTCCACTTCTGATAAGGATTCCCAATGGTGAGGGCAGTAACCAGGTTGCCAAGGACAATGTAAGTTCCTATATCTCCTGGAGCCCTGCCTTTAACTTAGGGGAGATACATGGTCACTTGGTAGATCGAATAAATTTTTTTCTCTAGTAAATGCATGCTACAAATATTTGCAAGCTGACACACTGCATCTATTAAATTAACCAACATACTGGATTCTTCAAAATAACTGAGAAGCAAATCAAAAGGAATGCTTTTCATTCTTGAAGAGGTAGACAGGTTATTTCAAGCTACTAGCTTTTTATATAAAATAAATCACACTGATGTTGGTATAAAAGAATAATGCACTCCCTGAAATTTTTGAGCGTTATACACTTAGAATGAGCACTTGGGAAAACTCCAGGTTCTAAAGTTCTAGAGGCATCATTTAAAGATATGTGTCCCTTTTCTGTGCCAAGTATATACATAAATATACACACTTGTACATACATATACATATATACACACATACATATACACATATACATCTATAGAAGAAAAATAATTTCCCTCTCCTTGATTATGTGTGTGTGTGTGTGTGTGTATAGATAGATACTTATCCCTTTTTTACAGACATGAGGCTAAGTTAACACACAACCAGGACTCAAACCTAGTCTTATAAGCAAAGTCCACACCCTGTCCTTGCCAGGACATCCCTGAGTTAACCTACTTTTGACATGTGTTTGTGCTGCTGCTCACTTAGGTTGTCATTAGCCAGTCTTTCTGTACAGATATAAGTTCAATTGCCAAAAGCCTCTAAAACATTTAGGTGATATCTTATGCAAAAGAATTTAGAAGGAATACATTTCAATGTAGAAAGCTACAAAGGTAACATGAAACATTGAGGTTAGAGAATGAAGTATGGATTGAAATGAAGGAGCACCAGCAAAAGTAATAAGGATAAACAACATAGAGATGCAGTAGTGAGCAGAATCCTCTCCCATTGGGAAGAGTATTAAGATCAACAGCAGGCAGACATTAGGGTGTTGGCATTTCTAACTGAACATGAACTTGGGAATAGCTGCATAAAAATTACACTTGTGCAATTTTAAAAATTACATTTAGGGGTAAATATGTAGGAGGGAAGACAGAAAAATATATATTTCTAATCTATTTTTAAGATGTATACACACACACACACACATATACACAAGGAATTTAATCCAGGGATGCTTAACCACTGAATCACATTCCCAGTCCTTTATTTTGAGACAGGGTCTTGCTAAGTTTCTTAGAGCCTCACTATATTGCTGAGGCTAGCCTCAAATTTGCAATCCTGCTGTCTCACTGGAATTATAGGTGTGTGCCAATATGTCTGGTTTGGATGCATATATTTTTGTAAAATAAATACATAGATATGCCTCAAGTCTTATAACCCATTTCCCATTGAGTTCCATTTCAAGGATCTTGGAATGTCAGAACTGGAGGTGATTTTAGAGCTCAATTAGACCAATTTCTTCATTTTTCAGGTGAGGAAAGTGAGGCACAAAGTAGATAGATCAGGAACATTTTAAACATCATAGATCTCTCTGCTTTTGGGTCAAATTCAGTGTTATATACATACATATAAAGTTATACATATGCATATGAACTACAAAAATTTGAAGTTACATATGAATCTGAGGGAGAAAAGAAGCCAAAAACATGGTTCTAAAAATACTGTTTTAGGATTTTTTTTAATTAAAAAAAGCAACTGAACTCGAGAATCATAGATGGTTTGATATTCAATACTTAAAATAAATAGTTCTAAATTTAGACATGAAATTCTACTAAATGTTTAAAGACAAAATCATGTATTAGCTTTGTGCAGCTATGACTAAAGTTCTTTATGATTGCTGCAAAAAACAATTTTCTGGGAAAAATTTCATTACTACACTTTGGTGATAAGGGATAATTTATTTCACTGGATTTGCTGTTATGACAAATCGTTTGTGCTTTTCAGTTATTAATGCTCCCCTTTTTTATTTTCTGTAGACACCATTACTCATTTCTTTAATGTGTATGGTAACTTAAAAATAATCCTATCTGCAGAAAAGCCAGAATAAGTGCTTGCTCAAGGGTACTGCTAATTTACACAGAGTATTTTTCTTTGGTCAACATGTTTTTTACTTGGTTAGCTATGATTATCTAACGAGAAACCCCCTTAGCAAGAAACATGAGTTGCAAATGTTATTGTGATTAAGAAAAAGAAAAAAAAACACCTTTCAAATGATTTCCTCCAATTGCATACAAGCGATCATTCATTACAGCCAAAGTGTGGATGGCGCGCTTTGTGTTCATATCTTGTTTTCGAGCCCAGACGTCCATTACGGGGTCATAGCAATATAGCCAGGGGACATATTCTCCATTGTGTACACCTCCTGTGAATTAAACGTATACATACAAGTCAGGGAAGTGTCTTTGAACTGAACTTCATTACAGAAAGAGGAGTGTGGTGACTTGCCTGAAATGTAGATTTTCCCATTGTGCACCGCTCCTGCATGAGCTGCCAGAGGCTGTGGCAAAGAGGACACATAACGCCATTCATTTGTGTCCAGGTTATAGCACTCCACGCTGGACAAGTAGCCGGTTTCATTTCTTCCACCAATAACGTACAAGTGTTTGTCTAACCGACATGCATAGAAACTGGCTCTTCTGCAGTGAAAAATAAGAATGCACCGTAAATCAAAAAAAGAACAGTGAATTGTTACCTGTGAGATAGGGTGAGGACCACTCATGAGAAGGAGGTACATCATGCTTCAGAAACACCTGCAAACCTGTAAACATTACACTTCCACCTTCTAAATCTGTGACTGGATGAAGTAATCATATGCACTAACCAGTCTGGTGAACATTTTTGATGTCAAAACAACAGTAGAGGAGAAATTCACTAACTCTTTCTTCTTTATATCTTGCTTTTTATACACTGTTAAACTGTTCATTAATGTTTGGGATATTTGGTACCTTGTACAGATATCACAGCTCAGTAAGACAAAGTGAAAAATGAGGTAGATAATGTAGCAATAATAAATTATCTTGACATTCACTTTCTTTATGGTCCTTCAAGGGTCATTGTTCCCAATTTATAAGAGAACTACATCATCAAAAATTTTCTTCAATTATCATTTTTTCTTTTTTTTCCCCTCCTAGTACTACTGAAAATAGAATAACTTTTTTGAACTTCATATAATGTTCAAATTTTGCTCTTATATAACCAATTATAGAAAGTTCATCTAAGTAGCTTTTGGTATTGATTCTCTCAGATACTGCTTCAGTCTCTTTCAAAGAGAGGCTATCAATGATATTTTCTTGCAATACCATCCAAGGCAAGAGATGAAAGCTATGTTCAAAGGATCGGAGACCAGGTGGCCAGTTCTGAGGTAGGCCATAATTTAGGAGTGAGACCTGAATTAGAATCTTAATGGAAGAAATAGGAAAGAGTGAAGCACAAGGTATGTCCAAGGAATATGACATAAGACTCATGACTAATAAAATATAAGAGGTGAAGGAGAATAAAGGTTCAAAGAGGACTCAAAAAAATGACTAGGATGAAACTTTAAGCATGCCCATGATCTTTTCTTTCTTTTTTTTGGCGGGGGGTGGGTACTGGGGATTGAACTCAGGGGCACTCAACAACTGAGCAACATCCCAGCCCTATTCTGTATTTTTTAGAGACAGGGTCTCACTGAGTTGCTTAGTATCTTGCTTTTGCTGAGGCTGGCTTTGAACTTGCCATCCTCTTGTCTCAGCCTCCCAAGCTCCTGGGATTAGGGACATGTGCCACTGTGTCCCGCTTTTACTAGTGCTTTTGCCATTTCAAGTTAACATGTTTTATTGAAAAGAATGACACCTGTCTCAAATAGTCTGTTCTAAAGTGACATATTTCTTTGCACCATCAACACAGGGTAGGTCAATATACTTCTTCCACATGGTCCAATGACAGAATTTAGAACTTCTGAAATAATATATTTATTTATTTCAGCAGTGGACTATCTTTAAATAATTTGGACCAGGTGGGCTGTAAAGTGGTAATGGTGAATTTTAGGTGGTACTGGTCTGGAAAATAAAGTGCCGATCAGTCATTACAAAAGTGAAAGCCCCCTATTTAATTGAATTTAGATGGTGAAGAATAAGCGAAGGATCCCTTTGCTAAGGTAAACTCCTTTTATCTAGTCTAAATGTTAATTTTCTTGCTTTTTTCCTGACCTGGTTCCTTCCTGTTTTGACACTGAGTCAGCCTTCAGAAGATGTTCTTTTTTTAGTCAAATCATTCTTAATGTGATGATCCCTGAGTACTCCTAAGCTCTAGCCACACAGTGTCAGTGTTAGGAACTAAAGGGGGAAGAATTAGTGGATTTCACTTCCTAACTTAAAGAGCAATTTTATGTAGAAATTCCACTAGCAAAAAAATTGTCTTTGACTTATTCTCTTGCATGCCCAAAGTGAGAATTCTTAAGACACATTATAGACTGTTAATGGTCTATCAGCAACTACTGTGAATATTTGCTTGAGCCTAAAATTTTACCAGGCCAGATCTCTCTTGGGAATGCTCCTTCCCCTCCATCCCATATGAAGAGCACACTTGATTTAGACTATTTTTGTTTGTTTGTTTGCATTGCGGAAAAGTAAGTTCAAGGTCATTAATGATTCTTTTAGTGGCATCCCACAATTTGTATTTCAGATTGTTTATTTCTTATGTCTCTCTCTTCTCCTTGTCCCCACTGCCATAAAGAAATATTCAATGTTTCTGAGATTCATTTAGAAAGACTAACAAATAACTTCTACAAAGATACTTTAAACCCTACTTATTTGACATATCTTTCTGAGTCCTTGCTGACCTTTGAGATGGTCAGTTTATATCCAGAGCATGAGACTGAATTACTATAACTTTATCCCAGCTTGAGTTGTTGATGTCCATCATCAGGTAAAAAAAACAACAGATTTTTCAAACACAATATTGTCTCCTGTGGTTTCTCATAAGACTCTTAGAACTTTAACTTTGGAAGCATTTTTGATGTATTAACTTCTGGCCTCTCACTTCCTTTGTGAAATAAAAGCTCCGTTCTTCAAACAGCTTTTTCTTTTTCTGATCTTTTAAACTAGCTAGGGGGTAAGATGCCATAAGAATAATACTTAAAATGTCTATTTCATTGAAAAAATTGAAGTGATCAAAGCATTTCTGTTGATCCAAATTTTCAGTCTTGCCCTTTCCTTCTTACTGCAGAATCAGATTCTAAAATCTAAGACCAAAACAATTCCTCAGCCTTACATTTAAATTTGTATTTTCATCCGATGATTTGGCAGTCAATTCACACTGGCAGGCACGAGATGCATGAGCTGCCCACGGTGAAGTCAGCCTGCAGGCTGTGTGCCCAATTCCTTCTGAACTGGGAGAAGACTCAGCAGTTTTATTACCAAAGCTTTGGGACCTCTGATTAGGCAAGATATCCTAGTAATCTATCCACCCAGCTCTGAAAGAATGAGGTACCCTGGAGGTGGTTCACAACATGTTTCTGTTATTCTCAATCAGTTTGGTAATTTCTCAGCATAACAATTTCTCAGTAGTTTGGTAGTATAATGAAAGAGGTGGCAGAGACTTCTGGTTTGATTCATAATCTACATATTATAAAATAAACTCAAGTAAATGTTTCAATAGACTTTTCTGATCTGAAGAGTGTCTCGTATACTTATGATTATTTTTCTTCAACGTTTAATCACCAATTAGTCCACTGATGTTTCCTGCTGTTTGAAATGGGAGCCTGGCAATGACAGGAAAATTTCCTTTGAAGTTATGGATTGCTGCCTGGGTCAACCAAGCCATAGGAGAGATGGAGCTAGAAGATTGACTGGGCATTTGTGAGATCTGCCTTTTCCCACTCAGCTCTGTAAGGAGCTCTTTATTTGGTCTATCGAGCTGATTGTTCTAAATCTAAAAAAAAACTTCTTTTACTAGGGACCTGACATGATATACCATAATGACTTGGAAAGAAACGTTAAACAGTCCATCCTGTCAACGGTGGCTGCCGAGCGCCGACAGACCATGGCAGGTCTTTTTATCAGGTCAATGAGCTGCTAAAAATTGTCTAAGTAGTACCCTGCCATGATAGGCCATAGTGCCTCAGAGGAAGTCATTATAGACTATCAAGTAAACAATACACATTTTAAAAAAAATTACTAATTAGGTTTTGCAGCAATACTTCCCCTCCTTAGGGGCTCTACAGCGAGATAATTGACCGCGACGTGAGTTATGCCTCCCAAGCCGAAGGCGTGAAGGTTAATTATCGTGGTGTACAGCCCCCAGCAAAGGGGACCGTGGTGATGAGATGATCACTTTTCAAACATGGATTGACAGTTATTTTTCAAATCAAACTTTTTTTTGAATGGTTTTGATTAAAGGGCATATTGATGCAGCGACAATACCACTAACTAGGGGGAAATAACTCCTCCAAGGAGAGAGACAAGGTGCTCTGGAGAAAGACACCAGGAAGCTTCTGGCTCATGAAGTTTGTCAGGATATTAATAGACCTAGAATTATTTCTCGAGGTACCACTGAAGTAGACATTCCTAAAAATGCTGGTGATCTTTAGCATGTGTCTTGTGTATAGCTTCTAGTCTCCTGAAAGTCTTACTCTGTCTGTAAGGCATAGATGGATGTTGAGTTTCTCTAGACCATAGATTCATACTGTCTTGTTGCAGTGATGTACATTTTTTAATAAATGGTAGTCTCTGAAAATTTCTTTTGACTTGGAATTTATGATTAAGGGTTGAATTTGATTTCAGTGCAATGTGCTCGAATGTTAAAAGAGATGTTGAGGAGAGGGGTCATGCAGGAAATATGAAAGAGCAGCAATGCTTTTGATTACTTCTTAAATAACTCAACGGAGGAGACAAAACAGGTTGTGGTTTATTGTGACTCTCATCTTGGAGAATTTGCTCAAGAGGCTATGTCCAGATATTATTTAAAAAGAACCAAGTGTCAAAATCTCTCATATGAATTTTTATATGCATATAAAGACATGGTATTATGCCTGAATAACAGCCAGGAGACACAAAATATGTGCAAATATAGTAGCTATCTTTTCCTTTGGTTGCTAGGAGACTTGGACGAGATAAACACTCTGTTATGTCAAAAAATTAAATGACACTTTGCAAGACTATTTTTTTAAACTAATAAATGACCTGTTCTTGAAGACATTTGGTGAGGCAAAGGTAAACTATCTGAGTTAATAAGACTTGGAATTACTAGTGAACAATTAAATTCAAATAAAAATTTAAATACCAAATATTTAAATGTCAAACTCTAATATTGAATATTAAATTTAATATTGAATAGTTTAACATTGAAATTGCTGCACTGACATGCATATCATTATGGGAATGGTGTTTTATATTTTGGTTTTAGGATTTAAATATATTAGCACCAAGAAGACGAATAAGGCCAGTAGAAATACAGCTCTGTTTGCAAAATATCAATCATTACAGAAAAAGAAGACAAGTCACAATTTTTTTCTTCCTACATTAAATAATTGATTGATTTAATTATTTTTCTCTATCGAGTCAACAAGGCAGGTAATCTAAATTGGGTGGGCCAAGTTTTGTATTTTGCCAATGTCTCTCTCATGAACTCTGGTTAGCATTCTTCATCATGGAAAACCCTCTAGCACCCATGCTTCCTGAGAAGCAGTCACACATTTTCAGACATAAGAAATGAACTTACCTTTCTTGCATGGGTGGAAGTTGAATCCAGCTATTGAATCGGGGATCATATCGGCTGACAAAATTTGTACTATGTTTTCCTGTAAAAATACATTTGAGACACTTAAAACTTAGATTTCTTTGTTGATTTGCACATTTAGTAGTTTTTAAATGAGGTCTTGCTGTTCTCAGGTTTGACAGGTGAATTTAGTAGAGGGGCAATGTAACAGCACTTGAAATCATCGTGAATGCATGTGCCTCCTCAAAATGGTCCCTTTTTCTTCTCTTTCCCTTTTATTATTTTTGGAATGACTTAGGATAAAACTAAATCAACCAAGTATGTTTACTAAACTGCTTTTATCACACTGTTAAGGTAAAAATTCTGTGTTTTGATGCTTTTATATTTTAAAAACAAAAAGCTATTGTCTATAAATGATCAGTTCCAGAGACTGGTTTGTATAGTATCTTTAGTTAGAGTTTTTTTTTTTTAATTTCTTTTCTTTTTTCCTGAAAAAAATTTAAAATCTTACTTTTTTTTGAAAAATCAAATTCACAACAAAATTGAGGAACACACAGAATTTCCCATCTCTCTCTTCCAGCATATGCCTAGCTTCCCCCATTAACAGAACTTCTTCTATTGACCCACAAACCATAGTGTGGTATTCTTTTGTCTCCTCGTGGAAATAATAGCAGTCACTACAGTAAGGGCCTGAGTTGGGAAATCAGTATTGTACCATGCATGTCATGCATGTTCTTCATGTGCATTAGGGGGAAGCACAGTGGCTGTGTCATATACACAAATACATGTGCTGAAATGGGAAGTATGAGTTCCCAAGCTGCTTAACCAGCTCATCCTCTCTGTTGAGCCTAAGAAGCCTAAGAGCCTCCAAGGTATTAAAATGCATCTAATTTTGCATACATATTGGGGGTGGGTGAGATGGGTGGAAAGAGAAAGAGAGGGGAAGAGAGAAAGAGAGAGAAAGAGAGAGAATGAATGTGTGTGTGCATGCATTCACACAGGCAGGGTCACATAACCTAGTTATTAATTGCACAAATATATATTGAGCACTTACTAAAGGACTCAATGACTTGTATGTTCTAGGCTCTGAAAATATATTGGTATACGAGAAAGGCAAGGTCTCTACCCTTATAAATGAATTAATCAACACATTATACAATATCAAGTAGAGTTGAATGTTATAAAGAATAATAAAGCAAGGAGTGATGGAGGGGAGGCCAGTTGAAACAGGAAGGCCATCTGCTTACAGTGTGTGCTGCAAGCTATGCACTTATCAGCAGGATGAACCTCACAGGCAGTGGGGCAGGCAAGTATAAAATCTCTGGCTGGTGATGAGTTCCAAAACAGTGAGCGTGCTGGAGTGAGTGGGCAGAAATCAGAGAGGTGTCAAGGTCTAGAATACATTGTGTTTGTGGACCAAAGTAGGATTTTGTATCTTGCTACAAGAACAACAGGAAGTGAAGAACTCTGAGCAAGTGAGAAACATGGATTAATTCATCACTCTGGCTGCTTGTACAGAAGAGTTGGTAGGGAGACCACTGCAGAAGAAGGAATTGGATGTAACCATTTAGAGAGAGGGTATGGGATTGGAAGATAATGATCCTCATAATCACCACTTGAGTAGAAAAAGAAAAAAAACAACAAAGGAAAGGAATTATCAGAGATAAGAGGGAAAGTATGGTGTTTTGAAAGCCAAGTCAAACAGCTTTTGAAAATCAGGGGGTGGGCAACTGAGAATGTACCACAGTACTTGGCAACATGGAAGGTGGCATGGCCCTTACAAGTGCTGCTTCAGTGAAATGATGGGGCTAAAACCCTGTGGGGACTACTCAGGAGACACTTAGGTGTTGGAAAATAGAGGTAAGAGGATGGGCAATGCTTCTTAGGACTTTTGCAATCGAAAGATTATAGCTGGAAGATACAGCATTCATGGGAAGGTTGCTTGGTTGTATTTTAAGTTCAGAAACACTGGAAAGTCCTTGAGCAAGCAAAAATAGAGAGTTTATCTCCTAAATGCTTCTGTGTTCTTGAAACTAAGAAGCAAGGCCAGCAACTGAGAGTGACAGTGAGGATTTTGGAAAAGGAGGCATTGAAGGAGAGAAAAGAAATGAAATAATCATCAGGGGGGTGTGGCTGAGTGCACTGATAACAGATATTTAGTAGGGTTGAGGAGCAGCCAGTGTGGCTGTGTGGTTTTCTCCTCCAGGTTTAGCTGCTCAGGAACAAGGAAGAGGTGGAAGAGAGTTGGGTTTAACCAGGATCAAGATTGCTAGGCAAGAGGAAGGAGAGAGAGCTGTGAGGACTGTGAATACATACAATAGAGTGAAGGTAGGGGTGAGCCAGAGAATCTAGGCTCCGTAAGAAGGGAAGTAAGGACATAAAGGGGTGATGGACAAGTGGCACGGTCAAGTGAAGGAGGTGGCATTACCAGGGAAGCAGTGGATAGCTGCCACATAAAAGGGGCAGCAGGGGGTATAATCTAAAGATCTCCTTTAAAGTGCATATGATTTTCAGTATGTGGGAGCGGCAAAGGAGAGGAAGGAGAGAAGCCACCTGCTCCAATAATATGAAGTATGTGGGGAAAAGAAACAAACACTAGACAGGCTAGGAAAGCAGTACTCTCAGAAGATAGCCTGGTTTTGAGTAGAAAGGAAATAGAAAAAAACATTCAGAGAAGTGTTTAAGGAGTATAGACCTTTGGCTAATGTGAGATTAGGAGTTCCAGATATCATGTGAAAGAGTGAATGGTCAGGTTGGGTAATAAATTGAGTTTTTTTTTTTCTGGTGAGGTACACAAAGAGATGAGAACACCAGGGGGGTCCAGAAAACTTAAAACACTGGGGAGGCTCCAAAGTAAGGAGGATTTATGTCTAGAGTAGGCTTAAGTGTAAGTTTTTGTGAAACTTGCAATAATTATAGAAAAATTTCATCCTTGATACTCAAGTTCCAAGGTTAAGGAATGCAGAATGTTTCTCTCTGAAGTTTGGTTTAGAATGTCCCTTTGAAAGAAGACATCTATCTCCTCTGGCAATGGGATACAGAAGTACCTTCATGTGCTGAGCAGCAGAGATAGAAACAGGCAGTGTTCATTTCTGGTTGTAATAGGTAGTGGCCTTGGCTTAGAGAAAAGGTGTAGCAGGGCCTGGTAGGATATGGAATTGTGATAAGAAAAGAGTTTCCAGAGGCACAATACATGGTATTAAAGAGAGTCAAGGATAGAGGACTAGGAAGATAAAAATAATGGTGGCATTCCAGAAGTGGCAAAGGAGTAGAGAGGATGATGAACCTTAAAAGGAATGATGGTGGTGGAGTGAGGAACCAGAGAGACAATGGAGTTTTTCTCTCCTCCCCTGTGACTTACTGTTAAGACTCTTCCAGCAGCTTAAGAGTGGTGAATACACAATGGAATTTTGAATTATTTTAATTATTATTATTTTGCTTTTTCACTTTCTCTCCAACTCTTCCAGCACTTCTCTTTTTGGGTGATGCCCTATCACCAGACACCATATTGACTAGCCCTTGAATGAAGTGATACATGGGTAAGGGGTGGCAGTTCATAGTCAGTGGTCCAAGAGAAGGAAGTGGGAAGGAAAGGAATTTTCTGTGAGTTGTTGGTTTGGGAGGTGGTTATCAGCAAGTGACAAATGTAGATTAAGGCATCGATAGAATATATACATATTCATTAAAATATCAAATGCAATACTATCACTAATGATATGAAGGAAGTTGATAGGAGTTAGTATTTATACTCTACCTGGTAGAAAGATTATATATGTGTCCTGTTTATATTTCCAGTAACCAATTTTTATTTTCTGACTTCAAATTTTGGTCTTATAATCCAGATCCTCAAGAAGTAAAACTATGTTTGAAGAGCATGCATTTGTGTTTTATGAGCATGCATTGAAATTTAGAATTTTGTATTTCATTCAAGGATATTTCATTTCAGGCACCTTTTTCACAAGAACTAAAGTTTAACTTGAGATGATTTTATCTTTGGAGGCACACAAATGTAGTATTTGAAGCCATGGATTTGAAATTTTCTATTACACTTCCTAAAGCACATTTACATGTGATCAAAGGATTGCTATTCTTCATAAGATCTAGTATTAATTGCATGAAGTATTAGAATATGAAAATTCCGTATTTTTGAGATACTTGAGTTCTTTCATAGTTTTCTAAATGTGGAATGATGAAGAGTTCTTGTGAGTGAGTAAAAGCCACTTCCCATTGTGATATAATAGAGATTTAATTTTACAAGAGAAATAGCAAAAACACAATTGTTTCTATTGTGGTTGAGCACATGAATAGATTTTGATTATGTTACAGGCAGTATAATGCAGTGATGTTGTGTCACCGGACAGCATTATTGACTAGCAGACTTAGAGATTAAGGCTCTGGTGTCTTACCTACTTTGGAATCAGTTCAGCTTCTTGTAAGTGGTGTCGTGACCAGTGTCTAGTCTCTTGAGGCTTAGTGTCCTCATGGTAAACCTTGCTCATAGAATATGGCTCACAATATGGTTGTGACAATTAAGTGAAACAGTGTAGGTAAGTGCTTAGCAAAGTTTCTGGCTAAAATAACAATTACTCAATAAATATTACTACTAATATTAAAGAAGTCTGCTATCATTGACCAGATGAATGGAATATGAAGCTACTTGGAAAACGTTTATGAGATTGTGATGGATGATGTTGGTATCCAGCCAGATCCCTTTTATCAAAGAGATGCACCATTTCCTAGGCTGCTAATGGTCAAGCTCCTCCTTCAGCTGAACAGGCTGCCTCAACTTCTGCCCTCATCCTCCACCTGGGGAAGACACTAGCCAATGACTGTCTATGACCCAGGATACATAAGACTGCCTACTTGCTGCAGGTGCAACCAATTTTCTTCTAATCTGGAGCCCAAGCCAGTGGCTCATCAACCTTTGCTCAGATCTATGCAAAATGACACCGTGTGCCAAATAAGTCAGGGACAGAATGACTCAGCTGCTCAGCCTTCCATGTGGAAGCTTCCAAAATTCTAAAAGGGATCTTACAGAAAGAGAGAGAGAGAGAGAGCTGCCAGGCTTCTATTGAGACTAACTGTAAAATTAAAATGTAGTAATTATAGCTTTACTAAAATTTAATTCTGAGCTTCTTAGTGGCTAAAACAAAGAGAAGAGGCAGTTAGTCACATGATTAGCATTGGTAATAATTTTCAAAAGCACACAACGCCTCAGCCCTTTAGTCTGATGCTTCAGCATGTTGGTCTGATGACAATTTGTCATGTGAGTCTCCACATGGTGCATGCTGAGTGTCAATGGGGAGTGGCATCCTTGAAGTCAATGTCGTTTGGAGTTCAGGTAGCCTTTTCTCATAGCACCTTCACACAGGGCTTTAAACCCAGTTGCTATTTCTCTCTGGGTAGGGTGGAAGAAATTTGGGGTAATCCAATGTCATAGGTTTATGAGGAGTCCAAATTAGTTCAGAGGTAAAATCTTGATCCTCTAGACTAGAGGGAGGAATATGTCCTTTAAGCTCTCTCCATCCTCCACCCAATTCTCTCGACTGTGTTTTTTTGATCTGAAGTTCGAACAGCAAGCAGTTAAGGGCTGTGTGTGTGTGTGTGTGTGTGTGTGTGTCTAAACCCAGGGAGGAGATTCTCTGAGTTGCTAAGGGGTGACTTATAGGAATGGGAGGTTCAGAATGCTTTGTGAAAACTGAGTTGTGGCATAAAAAACTGGGAAACATAGGCCTAACCCATAGGGGAAGAGAGGTGGGCTGAGAGAGTACTATGAATTAGGATTTTCCAGCCTTTTTTGGTCATGTTTTAATTTTAATTTGACCTTCCAAAAGAACATTCTGCAGGTTCTTTGCTTAGATTAATCCAATGGTTGTGCACTGTGTTTACCTCCATTGAATTCTCTCACTGAGGAAGGCTACGTAGGTGAATTTACTGTGGATTGTATATAAGTCAAGGTCTTCTGGTAACATATCAAATCTATCACTACAAAGGTAAGTTCAAGGAGTAATGTGAAGTATCATTTTTGCTCTTGTTCTAAATCTGTTTCTCATGAAAGCCCAGGAGCTATCTCCTTTCCAACACTGAGACACAACAAGACTTCAGGTCTGGAAAAAAATGTTCCTCCCCTTTCTTAAAAGAAATGTTTTTGGTGGGTGGCCTAGATGGTTTCCCTGTAGGATCTTCTAGAGCAAACAGATGTAACAATTTTTCTGTAATTTGCCTCGGTGCAGATGCTGAAAGAGCATTCACAATAAAATACACGCAGTATATGTAATTTCAGCTAGATGTTCTGGGGTTTAAAAGTAAAAATGTGTACCTGCAAGCTGTTTTATGGTTTCTCAGTCATAATTATCTCTGTTACACAGAAGGCTACAACTGCAACTCCTCCTCCATGTGCAAGCTTTCCAAAAATACCTTGATAATTTTGCATATTCTGCAAGGCACAGTGTTCTCCTTGTGTTTGGCTTGGGAAGTGTGTCAAAAGGTTTAGTTTCTCTTTGTGGTACATTTATGAAGTAATCACATCCAAGGGAGGATGGTGGGGAAAACCTATGGAAGAAGACTTGCATAGGGAACAGCCAGCAGAATGGATCTTCAGTTGTACCTGCTGCAAAATAACTTCAGCTAAATGGATGCAACTGTAGATGATGCTGCATTGTCATTTCAATAAAATGGGAGGAAAGTGGAGGAGAGGGTGGTGAGGATTTTTAGCAGCTGCAGCTTGTTACTGTTCTCTGGGGAGTTAGTTGTACTTGGGCTTGTGGTATTGGATAAGGAGAGGGGCTGGGGATCACTGTGAAGCCAAATTCCCAGGCAAAGAGTGAGTGTTCCACTACATAAGCCCTCAGTGAGGTTGATGGGCCTTCCCTCCCATTGTCAGCCAAATTTCCTGACTACTTTATTTGTGCCTGTTGCATGGAAATGCATTTACCACACCAATTACAAAATGGATCCCTACTAATGCCTTCAGTGAAAACATACTTGTTGAGCATTGACAGGGTTTGGATTATGTGTCCCTCAAAGGTCCATATGATGAAGTCTTAGTCCCCAGGATAGTGCTACGGGGAGGTAAAGGAACCTTTAGAATGTGGGGCCTTTGGGGAGATCCTTGGTTCACTGGAACATGTCTCCAAAAGGGATTATGGAAACACTGCCTGTCTTCTCTCTCTTTGCCTACAATCATGATTGGCTTTTACATGCACTCCTGTCAAGATGTGTCCCATCTACTGCCCTCACCAGACTCAGACAATGTCTTTGGACTTCAAAACTGTGAGCTAAATAATCCTTTGCTCTTTAAAGTTAGTTGCTTCAGGTATTTTGTTTTAGTAACACAATGCTGACTAACACAAGTAGCTACAATTAAAGTTATTCAATAATTACCATTCGGATTCCATTGATCCTCTCCACCCAACACGAACAAGAAGTTTTCTACCTCCACAACGCAGTGATGGGCACTGTTGTACGGCATAACTGGAATTAAGAGAAAAGAGATTGTATAATTTTTTCCATCTTAGGACCTCATACCTTGGCTCACCAGTTATTTACTTACCTGAGGTGCATAGAACGTGCGACTCAGTCAGAAGGAAGAAAACAGCATAAGTAGCAGAACGGCTACCCACCAATCCAGCCATCCCCAAACACTGGCTTAGTGATGTGTTCCAAGCAGTTTCAAACCCAACCCATTTTGATTAATTTTACATAATGTTATTCCACAAATCAGTCAAGAACAACCTGTCATGCTGTTTTGGATTCTTAAGTCCTCCTCACCTGCCTGATGCTGGGGATGACATTCTCAAACAATGACTGACACTCCCAAATGGTCAGGGCTGGCAGTTACTTCTTGGAAGAAGTAATGCTGAATACACTTGGAGTCACTAAGTTGTTTTGCCCAAAGTTGGCTTGCTGGCAATCTTTCCATAAACAGACTCGGGGTGCTTGGTAGCTCTCTATTCCACAGCAATGAGCAAGCTGAATTTCCATACAGTTTTCAGTTTTTAAATTAAGGTCCTGCTGATTTAATGCCTCCTCCAAATGTATACGCTTAATTTCCTGTACAATGTCATTAGCAGCACAATCACACATTTTCTATCTATCTGCATAGGAGCTCTTCTGTAACAAAGACGAAAACTGTCAGGAACATCACAAATATACCTTCTCCTCACCTCTCCCTGCCCTACTGCAGTGGGTAAGAGGAGGGGGCATTAATGAGAAACCCACGAAAGCAGGTTTTTCTGTGTTTGCTCTCATTTGCATCGCCTTTGGGAAGTCACAACATACAGAAGAGTTTGCCCCTGTCACCTTTTGTGCCGTTCAGTTTTGGTCTCTGCTAGCCTAATATCATAGGGTAAATGTAAACCTATACAGCCTTAGTTATCATATCACTTGCAGTGGTTGGGGCCCAGTGACACCAGTAGGAAAAATGATGTCCTTGTTCAGCTCATCATATGGGCACCTTAAATCTGGTGAGGACAAATGGGGAGGTGATGTGCATGTTCAGGCAGGGAACTTATTGCTTGACACGGATCAACAGAGCACTTAAGAAATCAGTGCAGTGGGAAATCAATATGAGTCCCAGCCAACTCTTATTCTGTGCTCTTTTGCCAATGCAGAAAGGGAGAGAGAGGAGGAAAGAGAGAGAGAGATGGAACCTATCTCACACCTGACTTATTTTGGGTGATATATATCTCTCATTTCATTTTGTTTTTATTATCTTTTATTTTCCTCAGAAATTGCTTATACTGGATAAGGTATGTAAATAAAAAAAAAAAGGAGGAATTGGTATAGCTTTGAGAACTGTAACTCGGAGAGTAAATTGGATCATTTAAGGTTCTTGCCAAAGGATTGGAGGAGTTTTGATTAATTCATTAATGCATTTTTAACTTCAAATATTCATTGTTTTGTGAAGTTATTTCCATGGGGGAGAAGGTGTTGGTGTTTGAAACCCCCATTTGGGGAGAAGATGGTGTAGATATTGGGTGTATGGAGGTTTGAGTGGTCCATGAATTAGGGTCAGTGGACTTAGAGTCCTAGGAATGTCCTGAGCCCCTCAATCCTCAGTTTGTCTCTTTGGAAAATGCTTTTAACTGTGTGGATCCTGTTGGCTTCACCACTCAGAATTCATAGGGGCAGAGTTTTTGCTGGATTTATTGTGTAACTAAGGTGTGGTGTGTTTTAAAGACTTTTTTTTTAAGTTGACTCACTGATGTTTGAATTATGATCTGGTACAAAATACACAAATCAAAAGTAGGCTGTTCTGTGTTATATTGCAAGTGGCTTGTGCTAAATGTCCTCTGGTCAGTGTGAACTTACAGCATTGTCATTTTTTTTTAAAGAGAGAGAGGGAGACTTTTTTTAATATTTATTTTTTAGTTTTCGGTGAACACGACGTCTTTATTTTCATTTTTATGTGGTGCTGAGGATCTAACCCAGTGTCCCGTGCATGCCAGGCGAGCGGGCTACCGCTTGAGCCACATCCCCAGCCCCAAGCATTGTCATTTTTGACAGTGCAGGAATGGAGGCCATCAGCCAAAACCTACTTATTCTATGACCACCACACTTCATATGTTTATTTTAAACTTTTGCTAAGTTCAATGCACAAATCTTAAAAATAAGGAAAAATTGTATTTCCTCCTTCTTAACTACAAGTCCAGCTTTGTAATATAGTACAATCTCTGAAATTATAACAACAATTATGTTTCGTTCTTGTCATTTATTTGCTCCCATTCAGGCAAGCAGAAATTAAGTGAAGGAAATAATACATGATTTATTTTTAAGCCTCTTTCTCATTTCATTACCTCTATTGTTATGTTTTATGCAAACAAATGAAACTATTGTATTAAGCTAACTACTCAACTCTTCAAAATAAGAGGAAAGAAGGTTTTTGAAGTCATAATATAAAGACCACTTGAAGGTATTTTCATTTATTCTACATACATTTACTCTTGTTTTAAAAGCTTGTATACTTTATTTTTTGATTAAACATTTTCAATATTCTCATTCTTGAATTGCCTTTTCTGAATTATTATCATGAAGTGAAAGGCTATACATATACACAAAGAACTCTTTGAAATTATTTTCAATGTAAAATCCTCCCAAATTTATTAGGGAGGGAAAAATCTATATTCAATCAATGTTTGAATTTTGCAAAAGACCTAATTTCTTTGACTTCTGATTAAACAGAAAGCCAAATAGGGCAGTAAGCAAGAGCAAACAATCTGTTTAAAGAGGCACTGGGCACTGAACTTATTGATTCTGCTTTAAATAACACCAAATGCATCCCGGCTCCTTTCCAGATTTCTCTAGAGGTGGACACCTGCTTTGCCTTCACAAGGAGGAGCTTTGTACTCCACGTTCCTATACAGCCCAGCGTGAGTTTTTAGCGTGTCAGTCAGTGAGTTAGAGGGAAAGGGGAAAGAGAAGCTAATCAGGATGAAATGAGATTAAAGGCTGTCTAATTTTACAGCAACTGTGATCCATCAGCCACTGTGAAAGTGACAGTGGAAATGAATGATGGAGACAGACAGGTGGGGCTGTACATTTCACTGATTTATCCTCAAATGCACTGGGCCTTATTTTATTGAGTGAACATGACCGCATTTATCATGACTGTCATCTAAAGCCACTTCCCTCCATTTAAAAAGGTCACTTTACTCAGAGGGAGTAGGAGAGAGGCACTTTCAAATCAGATTTAAAATCTAATAACACATGTTTATAAGGCCCTTTGTGAGATTTCCCAACTTTACTATAAACAGACTAGTAGTCCCAGAAGGAAAGAGGTGGGGAGAGCCAGAAAATTGAAAAGAAAAAAAAAAGAAAAGAAACCCCCACCCAAAACCCCAAAATATATTTTGGTCATCTGATGGAGCCCTTTCATTTAGTCTCTAAATTTGAAACAGTCTGTACTTTTTTTTTTTTTTTTTTTTTTACCTTTCCAGCTCTAAACACCTGATCTACTCTGGTCTGGGGATTGAAATGAAGTATGCACATTGAATATTTTTAGTTAAAAAGGTAGGAAGCAGATGATGTTATAGAATAATAAACTTGGAGCAAGGGTAAATCATACTATTTACTTTGCAGTATGACTTATCATCACCACACATGAAATCTAGGGTAGCAACTGCTACAAGCCAAATCTCAGCTACAATTAGCTCATATACCTGTGAATTGTTAATTTTAGCCATAAACATTTCAGTCAATGAAGAGTTTTAACCTACACCTCTACCAGTGCAATAAAATGTCTTAGAAGGTTATGCACAAAATCTTTCTCTGTGGATGTGAACATAGTCAGACTGTCAGAGTGCTATATGTTGCTTTTCACAATAATAACCACTATTACCAAGCATTTACTATGTGCCATGTATGTGTAAATTAAGTCATTATACTTATATATATATACCTATATTATGTCTGTAAAAATATAACAACACACATGTTTGGTTCATGCTATTCATTTGCTTGCACTCAGGCAAAAATTAAGTGAATGGGAAAATTCACAATATAATACCTGATAAAATATTATTATGATAAAATATATTGATATAAATCTACCTATGTTTGCATGCATATTTCCTTTAATGCAAATAGCTATGAAGCAGGCATTACTCATCCATTTTATATCTATAAGAAATACTGAGGCCTTGAGAGGTTAATTCACTTGTTGAAGGTCATATTCAGCTAATGAATGGCAGAGATTGAATCCAAACACGGGAATATCAGGACCCCAACCCACGCTCTTATTCATTTCACTCTACTGATTTTCAATAGGTATGTTCATCCAACCAATAAGTAATTACTGAGTACCTGAGTGTTCAATGATGGTATTCCTGAAATTTGTATATAATTTTTATACTGAATCATATTTTAAATGTGTTTATTAGTTTGATATTTGAAGAAATCCTTAAGTAAAGCAAGTAGACACTGCTTTAAATTTGTTTTCTGTAAATCTGGGTATTTAAATAGTTGACATTCTTAAAATAGTGTACATTTGTTTGATGGAGTCAGAAAAACACTTAGCAAATCAGCCAGTAAAGGTTGGGTAAAGAGTCTATCGGCAGAAGGTTATTCTTATTATTTTTTAAATCGGAAGTCCCCATTTCAATCTTACAATTAGATTCATGAATATCAGGGGCATAGAGGTCTTTTTCCTGGCATAGAAAAGGCCCAGAGGGCTTGTTTGTATTATGAAGGTCTTACTCTACTGAGGATCAACACTGCTCTGTCTCCTCCCTTGTTTTCTCTCTTGCAACAGAAAGCCTAGGTACCCTTCCCATGTATGCACGCATTTTCACGAGAATGCACACATATTCATGAGAATCCAAACAAGAGATTGTGTAGGGCAATGTCAAGTGTATAGGACTGCCCATTCAATGGTTATTGAATGTTTGTCATTTCAATGCAACAGTTATAGAGATCTTCATTTCCTTTTGGACTCAAATACATAAACTTGCAAAACTATCCAAAATGACATGTTT